AAATACTGTATGAATCCACCCAGAGGAGGTGCTTGGAATGAGTCAAAACATAAAGACAGGAAGTAGAACAGTGATTCCCAAGGGCTAGGGGGAGGCCAGAGCGGGGAGTTATTTCATGAACACAAAGTTTCATTCGGGAAGATGGAAAACGTTCTGGGGCTGGTTTCACAACAATGTGGCTGTATTGATGCCACCAAATGTACACTTTAAAAAAAAATGGTGAAAATGGTAAATTCTGTTATGTATATTTTGCCATGATTTTTAAAAAATTGAGATTTTTTACATTGCCAACTTCTCCAGAAACAAAGATAAACAAGTAACTTTGGACCTTAACTAGCACACCTGAGATAATAGCGATGGCCATGGATTAGTCCCTGCACCCTTACCTGTGCGCACCCCGCTCCTGGGCGCCCCCTCCTCCTCCTGGTTTTCCACCCATTTTACTTCACCCACCAGCGCTCCCTGCCAGCCCCTGCAGCTGTCCCCTGCTCTCAGGGCCCTTGTGGATGGCTCTCACATACACATACACTTTTCAAAGAGCCCCCTAGAGTCCAAGTTTAACATGCAACACCACAGTCAGTGCAGTCTCTCTCGGGCACAGGTGAGATCCGGTGAGAGGCATGGGAGGGCCTCCAGGACAGAAGCATCGCTGAGAAGATCCTCTCCTGCAAAGCGAACCCTGGACACCCTCCTCTGCTCCCCCCTGGGGGAAGGGCAGTGAATGTCACATTCTGGACCAATTAGGCCATGATTCCTTATCAGTAGTTGCAGACAGACCATCCGTAGAGGCTTATAAAAGAACCAGAAGCACTTCTCAGGAGCAGGCGAAGTTTCCTACTATTTTTCGGATATTGACTTTGTATAAATTTATTACAGATTTTAACTCTGAGTCAAGGAGCAATGAATGGAACAATCTTTTTTGAAGTCTGGATTATCCTCAAATTGTGAACTTTCCTTCTAAGCGATTGACCATCTAAGGGTCCCCCCCCCCCCGCCCCTCTTAAATGCTACTGTCAAACGAGCATTTTAAAACATTTATCAAAAACCAGTGGCTTCAAACTTCAATCTGTACATTCCATATAAAGCAAACCCCAGTCTAGTGCTGATGCATAAATGATGTGTTGGTTTAATCTATTTTTCACAGGGGGTGTCTGAGAGTAGGAAAATTAAAAACAGGTAGAATGGACTATTATTACTGTCCCGTAGTGTGCTTTTTTACATGAGGTCTGGATTAAGATAACATCTGGTCTATATTTCTTGAACTATTTCCCTTTTATCACAAGAAAAATCGGCAACCCATCTCACAACTGCTCTTAATTTAGATCTAAATATCACTGATGAAACATTGTACAACATGCTGTTATCTATTAAAATGATTTCCCTGAAGGAACAGTTGATACTTTTTTATATTCCAGCAAAGCTAATCATGCCAGGCCTCCTTAGTAGGACTTACCTTATAATCAGATGTTCAAATGTTCCACCTAAATCATTGCTTTGGTACCAAATGAGTCTTATTCTGAGATGGATTTCACTACTTAGTTAAGTACCGTGCCCACGTCTGAGAGCCACCAATCGACAGAGACCCCTTCGGGAGTCCGGAATTTTACTCTGGAGCAAACAGGCCATTGTTCCCCACAGCCTCTCCAGAGCCCCTTGCAGGGGAAGGCTGTAAGCTGTTTTCAGTACTTTCCAGCATGCAAGTGCTACCCAATGTAGTATATTGATTTCACAGGATAAGAATTTGGGGGTTTTATTCCCCCCCATAATTGTATAACTTATTTCCACAGATAATAAATCAGGAAAGTATTTTCTCGGAAACTATTTTGCATACCTGTGGTGCACATGCATTTTGCTCATTTTAAACTACACCAAGACTGAGAATCACAGGAGGTAAATCTAGGCATTAACCAGTTACACGGGAAATGACTTGCTCCAGCTCTCACCGTTGATTTGGTCATATCACATGTTCCTGATTTTTAAACAAAATATAGAAAACAAAACACAAAAAATGATGGAGGTTTCAAAACCTCCACTAGAAATAATTCTTGGGTGGCTGTAAAAACCGAAGGATGCTTCCTGCAATAGAAAATGAAATTAGAAATGTATTACACACCAACTATAGGGAAAAAATTTTTAAAAATAAGTGTTTATAAACAGGGGATTGGTTAAATTAATTATATTACATGCATAATATGGACTATCTTACAGCCATTAAATATGGAAAAAGAATATTTGTGTATAGTAAGAAAGGATCTTCATGAATATTTAGAAGAACACAATATGAATAATCGCATCACTTTTTGTCATCGTTAAAAAGAATAAAGTAGACATATATTACTGTGTACATGGGGTGGGCAAACATGGGCTTATAGTTGTAATACAAGTAAATAATACAGTAATTAATAAGTAATGATACAAGATTAAACTCTGTGTTTTGCGTACTCACAACTATAAAGCTACTTTTGGCCGTCCCTGAAGGTAGAAGAGTCTGGAAGAATTCACATGGAACTGTCTTCAGTGGTTCACCATTACAAATAAGAGAGGAGGAGAACACTTTACTTCCTCAACTATTGTGAATTTTCTAGCTCTTCTTCACACACACACACACACACACACACACAAACGGAAAGTAATTACTTTCCAAAATTAAAAAAAAAAAAAGGAAAAATGCATTGAAGGAAAAAAAAAGCAAATAGAACAGAGATCCACTAGCCATTTCCCCACAGGGATAAATCATAGGAAGGGAGGTGGCTGGTGGGGGAGGGAGGTGCCTGCAGAGCAGAAAAAGAGGAATGCCTATTGACAGGCAGCCTGTCATCTTGTATTTTTTGGAGGGAACGTTGAGAATAAAAAGCCTTTGGAAGTTATCAGCGGTCAGGCTGGAGCCATTCATTTTTCACCTGCCTCTGTTTGTTGTCTGGCAGCCAGTCAAGGGTGCTATTAGCAGAATTAAGATCCAGAAGAAAAGATTATCCCGGAGAAGGCAAGATAAGGGGCTGGAAAGTGTGGCTGGTTATCAATATCACAATACCAGCCGGGTCAGAAAGGATTCCGGATAGGTTTCACTCGAAGCAGGTAATCTCTGCAAAAATAATGGAGTGACTGTTCCTCCGAAACACTTCAGTGCTGCAGCACGCTGCAGTGCATTTAAGATAACGCGGCGTTTCTCCGGAGAGGAGAGCCCCGCCGCTGCATTAGGCCGGAGAGTGGATAATAAAACCCTGCAACAACGTCCTTTTATTCTCCCCAATCGGGAAATCCGGGGGGGGGGAGGGGGGGGGGTGTGAAACAACCTTCCGTCTCTCTCCCAGATCATTTTTAATATTTCGTTTGCTACATTTTCATTCATTCTTCTTTCCTTCTCTCTGAGGAAAGCTCTACATGGAATTCCACGGCACAATGTGACATAGGAAACAGGAGGGGTGATTGTAACATTATTTAAGTATTTAATTGTTAGATCTTTTTTTTTTTAATTGCTAATCGGAGTGCAAATGGAGAGCAGCAACTCTTGTCGGGGGAGTTTTTGCCACTCTGGTCCTGAACATGTGTTTTCTAACAACGAATTGGAATGGTGAAGGGTTTGAGTTCATGTCAGCACTGCAATTTACAAGAGTTCACATGCAGCATGAACTTACATAGCATTTCACCATGTTGTCTATGAATCATTCAATTTTAAGCTCTGCAGCATATGGGCAACTGCAAAATGCAAAGAGGTAAGAAAACACATTTGGTATTCCCATTTTATATACTTCACATTGAAAATAAGTGGCTTTGTTCTCCCAGCTATTTTTTATCTAAATGATAAAGGCTCCTTCATTTTATTTTCTTTATCTTTTTAGCAATTTCAAGTAAAGAGATATCATCTTGTTCAGCTAAATAATTTTTCAATGTACAGAGTTTGTAGTATTTGCACTCTTATAGAGGGAACAACAAACAGTAGGTTATTTATTTTGAGTTACCATCCCGGTAGTTGTGATGAATTGACAGCAGTTCATCCATCTAAGACTTGATCAGTAAAATACATTCCCAAAATGGCTGCCACTAAGGGAAATGACCAACCACTGACAGAAGAGAAAGAATGAAGACCATGGCACTGACTTCCCAATAACCAAGCACCCACTTTATGACCCAGAAGCTCTCATTTCATTTATTAATGAAAAACAAACCTAATATACATGTAAAATAAAAAAAGAACTTTGATCCCTGGTTGGTTTGGCTCAGTGGATAGAGCGTCAGCCTGCAGACTGAAGTGTCCCAGGTTCGATTCTGGTCAAGGGCACATGCCTGGATTGTAGGTTTGGACCCCATTGGGGGGCATGCAGGAGGCAGCTGAACAAAGATTCTCTCCCATCATTGATGTTTCTGCCTCTCTTTCCCTTTCCTTTCCTCTCTGAAATCAATAAAGATATATTTTCTAAAAAGAACTTCGATATTTCTTAGCAGTGGTTCTCAACCTTTCTTTGCTGCGACCCTTTATCGATAATACAGTTCCTCATGTTGTGGTGACCCCCAACCATAAAATTATTTTCGTTGCTACTTCATAACTGTAATTTTGCTACTGTTTATGAACCATAATGTAAATATCTGTGTTTTCCAATGATCTTAGGCTGTACAGCAGCACTTCTCAATCTGTGGGTCACTAGCAAGGTCGCCTAAGACCTTCGGAAAACACAGATATTTACATTATAATTCATAATAGTAGCAAAATTACAGTTATGAAGTAGCAACGAAAATAATTTTGTGGTTGGGGGTCACTACAACATGAGGAACTGCATTAAAGGGTTGCGGCATTAGAACGGTTGAGAACCACTGCTTTAGAGGCCTAGATTTGGGTCTGCTATAGCAGTACATGAAAATGCTCTTATTTCAGCGATGACTTTCAAAAACTGATCGATGTCCTGTTGCTAGTATGAATGACACTGCTGTGCCCATAAAAGAATACAAAATATTTTTATTCTTTTTCCCTATTTTTGTGTGTATTTTCTAAGAAAAGAGGAAACTTTGGTAATGGGACAATAACACCTAGTTTTAAATAGTTTTTAATTACATAAGCAATACATGAAAGCATTTTTATTATTTTTAAATGTCAACAATACAAAACCTTATACAATATAAGCTAAAACCTCCTCTAAACACTCACAACCCTCCCACATAACTGAACTCTCCTCAGCAGAAACACAGTTAGCAATGTAGAGACTATTTTATAGACCATTTTCTATGCCTCTACAAATGTATACGTGCATATACACCTAGGTAGGGCAGGGGTTTTTTAATAAATGGGACTACCCTGTATGTATTGTTCTGTAGGTTGCTTTTCTTCCTTTAACAATTTGTCTCATATGTCATTCCAGGTCAGTACTGCAAACGAGTTATCTTGAAGTTCACACATCCTTTTGAATTTTTAAAATTGTTTCCCACTTAAAAATTGTTCATATTTTCCTTCTTCTTTTTTTTTTTTTTTTTTTTTTTTAAGGAAAATATCCAGCAACATTGTGCTCAGTCCTCGCCAGGAACCAACTTCTCAGAAATGGGAGTCCCTCAGCGGAAACCACACTCCCTGTGCCACAAGCTCCTGCCTCCAGCCCCATGTTCAGCCTGGCCCTCTAGCCCTCCAAGGTTGCTCCCCATCAGGAGGTAAACCTACATGATTCTGGTAAAAGGCTAATCATAGCTCAGAATACAGAAACGCCATTTCCCCATGCACAGCACATTTTTCAAGTCCAACTTTTCCTGCTGCATTTCTTAGAATAGAACCAAATTCCATTTTGAGAAATGAACTCACCCTTTTTGTGTTTGCCTACACTTTGTGAAGAGTGTATTTTCCCCTACGCTTTGTGAAGAGCCTGCATCCATAGCTGATAATGCCTTACAAGACTTTGCAAAAATACAAAGGATTGTTCTCTATTTTTCCCTTTGAAAAATGATATTGTAATTGAGAGACCAGAGGCCAAGGATGAAAAGGGACTACTAAAAGATAAAGAAAACTCCACCCAAAGCTCTTTGGGATGGATTCGGTGTGTTATTTAAGTTAAGGCAGGATTTTTCTCTTTAAAATAAAAAAATGTCTCTGCCTTAAAAGTGACAAAGACCTGCTGAATAACTAAGGTATTTTCTGTTTTCTTTCATCAGCTCTATCTGTACTCATTCTCCTTTCCTCCGCCCCTTCTTTTTTTATACACTCAGATAATCTCTGCGGGCATATAAAGTTCCCATCACCAGGGTTTGCAACTGTGAAAATGGCACAGCAATCCAAAAAGTTCAAAAATTACTTCTCCAAAGTCATGCTGTTCATATGAGTAAAGCTGACAGACCTCGGTAAGAGAAGCCAAATCACAGTTATAATTTAGTAACTACAATATACACTTGAGCCCAAAATCAAAGCACATGCAAAAGTGGAAAGAAACTAGAATTAAAAGAAAAAAAAGTCTATCAGCCAAAATAAGAAACACACATGGAGTGACGCAATGCGAATCTCAGAGGAACAGAGTTTTTGCCTGTGTAATTTGATGTGAGATAAGAATTCTGCTCAAGTAAAAACTAGACACTGAGACCAGCTTCGCCTGCCTCCCACGGCTTTTTCTTCCTATTCAAATTATCACAGAATCCCTAAACGTGTGTGATTTTTTTCCCCCGGGGGCTACAGAAAATACTAAAGTAGAGAAATGTTTGCATAATGTTGTCATGAGGATCACATTTATCTGGTACATATTTATTACTCAGAAGGAAACCAAAGTCTAATCATAGCCTATTGTTCTCTCCGTCTTTCTAACCAAAATAAAACACTACTGATTTTTCACCGGAGGGTCTGAGATGTTGAAATACATATGTGGATTTATTGAATCTCTTCTAGGTGCTGAGGTATAAAGAATAGTCATCTGATTATTTTCAATAGTCAACATCTGAACACTTTTTTGTGGTATGTAAAACCACAAATAATTGTTGAAATAAACCATATCTTAAACTAAAATTGCATGTCGGTTTTTGAAATAACCCATGCGTTATTTCGTCACTTGACGGATTATTTGAGCTACTTAGATATTTTCCAGGTAAACTAAAGTGAGAACTTCAGGTTTTACTTGAAGGGTGTCTTACGCTCCTCACAGGAACTGGGCACGTGGCAGTGATTAGATCATTGGCTCCCACTGACTTAAGAGGCACCCAGTGGGGCTGCTGTGGCATGTTTAGAACCATCGCCTCTTAAAAAGAATCACAAAAAGGTTTGCCATTCCTTACAATAGTCCCTTCCTTCTCCTTTCAGGTTACAGCAATAAACTGAGTCATCACTTCACATTACCTTTCAATGAATTTCCGTAATATCTGCTCGTCTCCTATAATGATCAAACAGAGCTCAATAATAATTGTTTTAAAATGTACAGCTCCCTGCCAAAATCGGTTTGGCTCAGTGGATAGAGCATGGGCCTGCGGACTGAAGGGTCCCAGGTTCAATTCTGGTCAAGGGCATGTATCTTGGTTGGCACATCCCCAGTACGGAGTGTGCAGGAGGAGGCAGCTGATCAATGTTTCTCTACCATTGATGTTTCTTGCTCTCTATCCTTCTCCCTTCCTCTCTCTGTAAAAAAAAATCAATAAAATAGATTTTAAAAATAAATAAAAAGTACAGCTCCTTTGATATTCCAATTGTGGCAATATTAAGAAAGCTGCAGGAAAAAAAAAAAATTCAAAGCCCCAGGGAGTTTACAGGGTTTGAGTCTAAGGTGAAATACAGCAGACTCCCAAGTCTACTCAAGTCTCGCAAAGCCTGGGCCTCCGGATGCTCTACGCTGCTCTTCTTGGTCACCAAGCAGAGGAGCCTAAGCTGATAACCTTGTCACAGAAAGATCGTGCAAATATGAATTTGTGTCTGTACCAAGTGCTGTGTTAGGGACTTGAGGTACAAAATGGGTAAGATATGAGGCTCACAGTGTATTAATAGTATCTGGGCAGCCTGATGAAAATATAACTATGAGGGATGCCTTGAAGCCAGAGCCCAAATAGAGATATGCACAAGAGAGCAGAGAGAGGGGACTAGCTCTGCTTCCAATGGAGAAGTAGGCCATGGCCAAGGAAAGCAGCTAGACCTGGTGTGTTATGACAAGGACAAGAACCGCTCCCTTTTTGCCCAATTGGAGCAGTCGCTTATCCGCTGGCCATCTGTCTGATTCCTGGCGAAGATCTGCAGGTTGGTCTCTCAGAGCTCTCAGGGAATTTGTTTGTATTCTCAAGTGAACTTACAATGATTCCACAATTTGAGGAAACTGAAACATGATTTCTCTTCCCATCCTTCGTGCCATAGTAGGAACAGTAAGGGAGGAAGAACTGGCCCCAAAGTGCCTCTGCGTGCATATTGTCCAGAAACACCTGACATTTTCTGTGGCTATTTTCATTTCAACCTTAAAAAGCGCGCACAAATAGGTAAGCATGTATGGTGAAACAAGGAACACAGAGATATGATCAGGTGTGTATTAGATCCCTTTTGAATGCTGTTACCTTGTACCTCGATTCCACCAAATTAAACATATCCTTGAATTCACAAATTCACATCTCCTCAAGAAGTGGCCCAAGAAATCTCCACACAATTTCCCATTGAACTTATCTAATTATACAATACATTTCCAAGATTTATGTTGAGAAATAATATTAGATAAAGTGGCTCATTTTATATTACCAACGAAGCAGCCTGTTTTTATTACAGTGAAATCTCAACAGCTGGACATCTGAAGAACTGTGAATCCTCTTCTCCAGTGTTTCCCAAATTTTTGACATATGTGTACCCCTTCTATAATTTTTGTAATGCTGAGTACCCCTCGTACTCATGAGAACATAGAATTAGATGCAGCTAAGCATGGTGCAGTGCATATCCCCACCAAACTCCGATGCAACACGTATCCCCACCAAACTCTTCCCGTACCCCTGGGGGTACACGTACCACACTTTGGGAAACACTACAGTGAGTACTCAATCATAGCTTTAAACTTCCACAACCTTTAACTGTATTTAAAACACTACCATTTCTGTTCCTTTTAAAACACAGTAAGCAGGATAAACTAGGAGTTTCCAGAAATACTAACATTGATAATAAGACTATTGCACCTCAAAATGCAAATATAAGAAGAATGAGATATTTTCTTTTTTTGCCTATCAGCTGGCTGAGAACTTACAAAGCAGTAATAACCAATATGTACAAGCATAGAAAGAAATGAACATATATATACAATATGAGTAAGAGTGCAATTGGTTCATCTTTTATAGGTAATTTGACAACATGTGTCAAAACATACACACCATTTGAATTAGCAATTCAATTTATAAGGATTTATGCCAAGAACCTAAGCAGAGATGAATCCAAGGATTTCCACATAAGGAGAATGCACTTTTAATATACCTGAGAAGCAATTAAATGTGCACTATTAGGGATTAGCTAAAGCATGTTGCATACTTATATGGGAGCACTATCCTGATTTTTAAAGAGTATTTAACAAAACAAAATATTTGAGATATGAAATGGTGGGAAAATGAAAATTATAAATCAGTAAATATAATATGATTACAATTTTTCAATACACACAAGTGTATTCGTGTGAATGTATTCAAGTACAAAAAATAGCTTGAACATGCATACTAAAATATTAGTGTTACATATATATATTATATGATGCATAATATATCATATGTGATAATATGATATGTACGTATTAGTTTCAAAATCAGATCCAGGTTTTAAGGGAGAGCACAAAGCCAAATCCTAAAAATAGCAAAGTTGATGATTTAAATATATATATATATATACATCATGTCAAGCATATTCTGGTATGAAAAGTCTTATTCCTTAAATCAAGTATATTCTACAATATAAAATAGAATAGAAGTGCCAACATACAATGCCTTAAAATAAAGGTTATTTCAACTTTTTCCCTTCCCACAGGGCAAAAGACTCACCCTTACTCACAAAACACACTTAAGTAAAACAAAGATTACTACATTGTGTTGGCAAGAGGCAATGCCTTTATGCTTTT